GCAGCAGGGGAGCCAGAAATGGCCTCTCTGATCTGGCAAAATCCCTCATCTGGGACCAGTCAGGTCCCGAAGAGCCAAACTACCTCAAAATTCAGAACAAGTGGTCAACAAAGAGCCATATAAGAATGCCCATTTGCATGACTGAAAATATACAACTTAATATTACTAATGATTGAGATGATGATTAATAATAGCACAATGAAACATTGTGCTCAAGGACTTTATTTAATGGGACTTCTACTGCTGCATCTTTTTGCACATTTCTTTGAAGTTTGCATCATAACGGGTCAAATTCAGCTTCAGGCACGCATTCAGGCTGCCTTCTGTCAGTTTGGAGTGCAAATTACCTTTGATGTGATTCAAATGGGAGGAGGGCATGCTGCATGACCTGGCACAGCCCAGCCTCTCCAGCCCCAGAGCACCGGGGGAGGAAGGAGGCTGCTCCACACAGCCTTCCAGCCCTGGGAAGGGAGGAGGGCAGAGGGCGCGTGGCATGACCCCAGCCCTGAAGGAGGTTGGAGGGGACTTGGCATGGCTCCAGCCTCCCCAGCCCCGGAGGAGGTCGTGCTGTGTAGCCAGGCCCTAGCCCCAGCGTACAGGGAGGTAGGGCACTGGGGGCAGCAATACTCCACCCCAGAATGCCTACTGCCGGTGTTCTGGGGGTGGTGTGTGGGCAGGGCTATGCCTGGCGGTTTGGGAAGGCAGAGCCTTCTCCCGCCTTACATACCGGACGCCCATGCCTGAAATGCTGAAGACCATCATCAGAGAAGGCGGCTACAACCCGCATCAAGTTTTCAGTGCTTATGAAATTGGCTTGTATCGGAAATGCATGCTGTCCAGGACCTATAGTTCTGTAAATTAGAAGTCTGCTCCTGGATTTGAGGCCTTGAAGGATCGCCTGACTCTGTTGTTAGGGGGCAATACCAGCAGAGACATGAAGGTGAAGCCCTTGCTAATGTATCGTAGTGAAAATCCATGTGCTATGAAAAACGTGAAATCTCAGAAAATCGGTGGAAATCCCACAGAAAGGCCTGGATGACCAGGCAGCTTTTCCGTGAATGGTTTGTGGATTATTTTGTTCCAGAAATAAAAAAGTATTGTGAGGAGAATAATCTTAAATTCAAGATTCTCCTCATCCTGGACCCACAGTCCAGGAATTTTGGAAAAAAAATCAACATCATGGATGTTGTTATGATCATTGGTATTATTCCCACTCAGGGATCCCAAAGTGCCTTGCATTAATGAATTAAGCATTCCAAGAGCGGTATTGGGTGGGCATTATGATAACAGGCCTATGGAAAAGTAAAACGAGGCACAGCGGTGTTAAGGGATTTGCCAAAGGTTATATAAGCAGTCTGAGGGAAAAATTAGAAGTAATCAGGCACCTAGTCTAGTGCTTTGACCAAAAGATGATCCTGCCCCTTGTTAGAGCTAAAAGTTGGGTTTTCAACACTTGGAGTGTTTTTTTTTTAAAGCACATTGATGCTTGGTGCCCTGAGAAGATCTAAATGGCTGGTATGAAAGAATTAAACTCACTTGCACTCACCATTTTCTCAATAAAATGTATTGCGTGATTTCAGGGGGTCGTCAAGGAAAAGTAAAGATTCAACATTGAAGCAACGTTGCAGTTCCATCTTGTAAAGTTATATTTCTTAGCCATATTTTTTTCTGGCTATGATCAGCATTTTGGCTCAAAGCCACTAATGAAACTGCTGACTTCTGACTCATGTTCTCAAAGCCCATCAAGAACACTTCTACTGCCAAGGGAATAGACATGTTTATAATTCTTAACTCTATGTGTGGCATATTACTTCATCAGAAAATACATCTGTGGAACAAAGACTCCACTACAAAACCTGCAGACAAAAATCAATTATTTCCCACCAAAGAGTACATCTAGACAGAGGTGCTATGTGGGGATACGTCCTGTATCCCAAAATAAAGTTTCCCATGTCTAAACAGCATGCCCATTATTTTGAAATGCAATCGAAATAAGAGGCTTGCTATTCTGAAATCCCAGTAAACCTTGTTCCATGAGGATTAAGAGACTTGTCAGAATAGCGGTCTATTTTGAAATTTGGCGCTATGTAGACAGCACCAAATTTTGAAATAGACTATCTCAAAATAAGTTCAAAATAAGCTAGGCAATTTGTGTAGCTCAGATTGTGTAGCTTATTTCAAGTTAGCGCCACGGTGTTGACACACCCAAGGAGTTCTTGGATGAACTAGTAAATTCCACCAGAAGTTAACTTCAGTGTAGAGTGAGTATGGGTGAACAATTTTTTAAAAAAATCCAAAACTTAGAATTTTTCATTGGATTTGATTTATATTCATGCGTTTTTGGCTATTTGCTCTGTACGATTTTCATGAAAAGCAAACTTCAGTATGTACACAACTGCTTCAAAGAGTAGTGAGCAAGGGTACGTCTACACTACATGGCTCCGTCGACGGAACCATGTAGATTTGTTTATTGGGCAAAGGGAAATGAAGCGGCAATTTAAATAATCGCCGCTTCATTTAAATTTACATGGCTGCCGCGCTGAGCCGACAAATAGCTGATCAGCTGTTTGTCAGCTCAGCGTGATAGTCTGGACGCGTGGGTGTCGACATCAAAGGTATTTTTAGACCACCCAGGTATACCTCATCCCAGG